TTGTGTTTCAATCTACAAACCCCCTGTAGTTAAGATATTCATTAGATAACTACTATGTATAAAATCGTATTGTTGATTTTTAAATAACGATACAAATAAAACAGCCATGAAATGTTTAGAAAAATTCATATTATTTATGTCTGTTTGAAGTTCTACGCGTGGTTTTAATTTTGAAGCCGTCTGTATCTCCAAAATAGCAACAGACTTCTTTTAGAATCATTCGGATATCTATATGTTGAGTCTTATTTTTATGTATTCTATATTGAAGGTTCTTTAGATTGTATGACGCATTAGGAGGAGATAAATTTTGCAAAAATTTCGTGAAATAAACGCACGAAATCGTTCTGCAGATTTTCATTGCATTTCATGAACAATTGAGTCAATTGAGCAGTTTGGAGCGAAAATGTAATACAGAAAAGTTGCGTGGAAAAATGTCGATGATGAATGAACGGAAAAGGGATAGCTATATAGTGAACTATAGTGAACTATATAGCTATCTCTTTTCATTTGAAAATTTTCCGCGCAACTTTTCTGTTTAAAATTTTCGCTCTAAACTGCCCAATTTATGTTCCTCGTGATAAATTTATCCTAGGGATAAATTTTTTGGTCAAAATACCAAAATTTCTAGCAAAATTCTTACTCAATTTAAATTGATGTTAAACTTTATTTCTGTTCTTATTGGTGCCATAAATATGAAAAATTTCCAGTCATATTAAAATATTTGAAATTTTTTTATACCAAGGATGAATACCGGACAGGAAACAAGAAATAAATTGTCAATTTTTGCTCAAAACACAGTCAAAATTGAAGTTCAAGCCAATATTCCCTGGTTTTTCATCACAAATTTTAATAATACGGATATTTCGAATCAATTTTTTCTCAAAAATGTTCAACATTTTGCTATCCTAGGGATAAATTTAAAACCATGTCCATACTTGGTCATGAAGTTTTTTCATTTTATTTTATTTAACACTGGCCAATCACTGGCTAAATTTGATTTTGTACAATATTATTTTATAATTTGTAGATATTAGTGGTCGGGAATAAAAATGACTAAAGTTGAACCACTTATGGATAACCGTAACACAATATTCTTGATTTTTAAAAGTGCAACATAAATTCTGTTCGGCTGTAAGTGAATCGTAAAATATCTGTGGACTATAGAAATCGTGTTTCACTTTAATTGAAGCAAAAATGTTCGATACACTTTCAAGTCCATTGGAATGATGATTCATTTTAATGTTTGTTTTGGTTGTGATTTGGCTTCGGAGTGAAAATTAAGTGATAAGGAGCGCGAATTTCGATGTGCCGATAACACCATTGGATTGGGCACATGAAATACTGTATGAGAATCAAAAAAAAAAATTTAACTTTTTTTTCGATTTTTGCCTGTTTCCGATATTCTACATGGGAAGTTTGTATGAAAACCTCGGAGCACCGGTGTTTTACCCGTATTGTTATACACATCAACAAAGCAGTCAAGCTTCACCGTTTAAGCATGAATAAAAACAAAAAAAGCAATAAAATGAAAAAAAAGGGTCTTTTATTTAAAAATTCTTATTTTCAGGATTCTTTTGTCTTCTTTGTTTTCATCTTCTTTGTGTTCTCTTTCTTTTTTTGTTTACAGCACTCATGCTGCGCGTCTTTGCATATACCTAACATTGAGAGCATTGAAAAACACGAAAACAATTCGAGCTATTTTTCGCGTTTTCCACGTTTCTCGCGTTTTCGCGTTGCGTTTCTCGCGTTATTCGCGTTTTTCGCGTTTTTCACGTTTTTCGCGTTTTTCGCGTATTTCACCATGAAGTAGACGCATAAATGAATCGACTTCGAAAAAGAGAAAAGAGGCAAAAAAGCCTGTCCAACATGCCGTCGCAGATTCAAAACAACGCGAGCAATTATTATTTCATAGAATTTGAACAAATTAAGAATTAAGTTTAACTGAATTATGTAAAAACAACTGAACGATTCATGTCTTTAATTCAATTCATTCAAATAAATAAAAACAGAAAACAATAAAATAAAAAAAACGTCTTTCATTTCAAATTTCTTATTTTCAGGTCTCTTTTTGTTTTTAGGTTCTCTTTATCTTCTTCGCTTTCTTCTTTGTTTCTTATTTTCAGGTCTCTTTCTTTTTCCTCTTTGCTTGACCTTCCCTTTTGTCTTCGTCTTCTTTTATTACACAGCATGCATGCTGCGTGCATGCTGTTACTATTGTTGGAATAATAAAACGCGAAAAACGCGAGGTAATTAGCGTTTTCGCGTTTTTTCGCGTTTTCGAATGCCCTTTTTTATACTACTGTCGAGGTTGAGGTGCAAATTGTTTACGTCGCACCAGGCCTTAATTTTATCGATGGCCCTTTTCGAAAATGGGTGATACACTCGTGGGTTTCCATTTGTCAGGGAAATGGCCAGCTGACAATGATTCATTGAAGATCCGGTGAGTGGAGCCGCCAAATGACTCGCACAGTTTTTCAGTATCAATGGGTGCATACCATCCGTACCCGTACCTTTTTTGGTGTTCACGGCTTGTAGCTCTTCGAGCACAAAATTAATATCGTGCTGGAAATCCTCAGTTTGTTGTGACTCATCGGTAGGTGATTGTTGAACGCCTTGAGTCGTTGAGTCATCGTAGTTGCTATTGAAGAAGTTAGCGAATAGGTTGGCCTGTTCAGTTTCGTTTGCCGTACTCACGTCGCCAAGTTGCATGACATATTGTAGCGAAATAGATCATTTTCGTCATCTCACCACTTCGATGGCGCCATCTGGGGTATATGTGATATTTCTGTCAAGTCTGTGAGTAGTGTTCATGGTTTTTGTTCCAGAATTCATGCACAATCGTGCTCAATACAAAATTATTTAAAAAAATCGTTCGAAAATCATGTCTTCCCCATGTTGGATCCAGATTTTTTTGAATGGTCACTATTTCTGCCAAATAACCACATGAATGTGTGCTTGAGTATACTCTCTCTTAGAAACATGCGTTGGTATTATTTATTTATAGCTAAACTTCCAAAAAATGACTTTTGGTTGAAACAAGTGAGGTGTACAGACAATTTTGTGAGTGACTGTATGTACTTGCTTGTAATCTTTATTTTCATTTTGATCGCTTGTAATGTTTATTTTAATTTGTACAATATGTTAAATTCACTGATTGCCTAATTTTTTTTAGTAAAATATTCACAATTCATATTAAATTTTCAGTTAGTTTTGATTTTCAGTCGAGTCTTAAATTCAAATTTGCACGTTGGTTGTCATTTACGTTAATTAAAAAAAATTTATTGAAGAATTAAAGCTGCTTTTGCTTAAGCTGGGCGTCCTCTTTTACGTTTTTGACCCAGTGGAATGACTTTTGCTTCATCGGGTGCAGTTATAAATTTCATTCGCAACGAAATACCAACAACGTGTTCACACATGAATGTTTTCAAAAATGTGTAGCAAGTACATTTTCCTTCGAGCCAATTATCTTTGGTGTACGGCATTGGGAATGTGACATCGTAAAAAGCAAAATTCAACTTTTTGAATTCCTCGAAACTATTCCATTCACATGAGCGATCGATCGTATCTGGATCGGCTTATCTGGATCACTTGGAATTTTAAATGTCTTCTCAAACTCAGTTTCGGAAACTTTCATTGGAACATTTCTCTTGGCCCATACATAAGCGTCCGTCCAGATTTTCAATTCGATGTTTGGTTTCTTTTGAATTTCTTTTATTCCATTCAAATATGCCAATGACCATTTTTCCACCATTACAAAAAGCACCGTACGGAAACGGCTGATATCAAGACGTTCTCTGAATGTATGCTCGTCTTTTACCAATCTGTTGTTACTTTCAACTGAATTGTTTGTGCTTGGACAAGAAACATCGACTCCTTCATACCAAATTCGATGAGCAATTAACCATGTTTTTTTCAAAATAATCCATGAACGTCTCGTTAACTGGTTTCCATTTGTCCAAAAATAGCTGTGATGCTTTGTCGAAGATTTCATCGCTTTGGCTCAATTGCAATTTGTCAATGTCATGCAAAAATTCGGCTTGTTGTTTCTTATTTGCACTGAAAGTTCCCAAATTTTGAATGACATTTTTTCTCATATGGAACCAGCACATAATTCGAACGTAAGAGTGATCAAACACTTTTTCAAAGCCACGTGGAATGCTATCGGCAGCATCAGCGATGATATGCGTTGGTTTAAAATCAGAGATTGCATGCACCATACAGCTATAGTTGGATGCCAAAATAAGTAGCTATTTTTAGTCAATAGTTCGGGATATTCTGCAGTATACAGCTATCGAACGAACGCACGCACGAACAAGGCGAAGCGGCGGAGAAGAGCCCAGTGCATATTTGTTCCCCTCATTCGTCGTCATCGTCTCTGTTTGTACCGAACACGCACACAAACAAAGCGAACACTGTCTGGCATATACACGCAGACTGCGTTCGCTGTATGTACATGTGATCGGTGCATATTCCAGACAGTGTTCGCTTTGTTTGTGTGTGTGTGTTCGGTACAAACAGAGACGATGACGACGAATGAGGGGAACACATATGCACTGGGCTCTTCTCCGCCGCTTCGCTTTGTTCGTGCGTGCGTTCGTTCGATAGCTGTATACTGCAGAATATCCCGAACTATTGACTAAAAATAGCTACTTATTTTCGCATCCAACTATAGCTGTATGGTGCATGCAATCTCTGTTTAAAATCAATATTGAACACATCTTGAACGCCTTTCTTAACAGCAGCAAAAATGAATCTGAAAATGAATTAAAAATTCAAATTGATAAGTTATAACAATCAAAATATGATATAAACTTGTATCACAAACTACCTGAAATCATCTGTTTGTTCATTAGTGCATACGGCAATTCCAAACGGATGAAACGATCGATGCATGTCAGTTGTCCCAATATGCAACACAGGATAGCCCTACCATGTCAATTTGTATGTGGCATCAGTATGTACTTTGGTCGCATCAATTGCCGAAGAGCGAAGCGAAGCTGCTTGGATACATGTGGATTTTTTTCATCAAAAGATATTTCAAAGTCGACTATGAACGGCTTTGTTTTGTCAACTGGCAATAAACAATTATCTTCGAGCCATTTTTTCAAATCACTCATATTGATTTTGGCACTTCCATCTCTTTCACTGCGAATTGTTTTTAGAAACGAGTCGAATTTCTTGCGATCTGGAAGCTCAAATTTCTTCATCATTAAGTTGTTCAAAATTTGTTTTGGCTTGCAAACTCCCATTTCAAACATATCACGAATGGCATCCTTTATTTCATCATCAATTTCATAAACCGATTCCAAATTTTGGTCATGATCATGATCTTCGCTTGACACAAACAAGTGAACTTTTGAGCTGCGTGAATCAAACAAAAGATACAAACTAGCAGCACATTTTTTTTTGAGCACGGAATTTGACTTTGTTGCATCCATATTTGAGCCGCTCTCCATCGTCTGAATTCGTTTTGTAGTAGACGGACCAACAATTTTGACTTGCCAAATAGTTTTGAGCATCATTCACATTGTCAAATGTTTGAGCAAAATTGAACTGTTGATGAACTCTTTTTTTCTTTGCTGGCGGTTCTTCATCAATGTCATCAACATTGCAATTACTTGGCGAAATTTCAATCAAGTCATTTGATAGTTGTTCATTGCTGTCTGTTCCAATTGTAGAACAAGAGGCAACTGATTCACAATCACCCAAATCACTTGAACAACTGCTCACACCACTCGATGTTTGTCCATCAGACGAGTTGCTGGGTGCCACGATAATTGATGCATCAATTTGTCTGAAAAATTCAATATTTTAAGTGTTATTTTGCAATTGAGCCAAATTTTTCATGTTTGACAAAAAACAAATATTGTGTTCAAAACCAATTCAATCAAAAAATCTGACTGTAAATGTCATTTTGTTAAAGCAACGCGTTGTGTTATGACACAAATATTTTCGTCATCAAAATTGACTTACTTTTCGTGAACATAAATTCCATTTGACATCATCATATCACGAAAGTTATCATAATCGTCACAGCAGGGACAGCAAAACATTCCTTGTTTGTCATGAGCACGACCTCTGAGACATTTCAAATGATACCATTTACTTCCGCAACAATTTAATTCGACCGATGTGACTGGATGGAAATCTTTCATCGTTTCATTGCACAATAAACATTTTTCGTCTTTCGTGTGAATTGATGATCGCTCAATACCATGATGAATGTGACAAAACGAGTCGAATTCGCCGGAGAATTGAACCAAACAATTATTTTCCAATGCACACGGAAGATGAAATGATTTTCTACACGTTTTACGACAACATCCAATGCTAGCTCCTTTCAATTTACAATAATAACAAGTCTGAAATGAAGAAAACGTTTAAAGTAATCAATTACAAAAAAAAACAGGGCCATTACAAACAACTCACTAGCTTGGATGCTCGCTTCACTTCATTTTTAATGTCTTCTTTCAAATAGCCCAAAATACCTTCCGAAACCTCTTTCTTTTGTTGAAGATTTGCTGAGAATAACTGAAAAAAAGTCCAATGTTATTTTATTCTTATGATATGAATGTTTTTTTTTTCACTCACCAAACAAAAATTGTGAAGTGTCATTTCACCATATGAATATTTATCGCCAAGATTTTTGACATCGTCGTTGTTTTGGTTGCAAAACAAACATTTTTTATTGGCAACATTGCCATCGAATGAATCGTAAAGTGGTGCGGACATTTATAAATAATTTTTTTTCTTAGAATAAATAAATAAAATCTTTGCAAATCGAACATAAACTATGCAAGTCGGACGCGCCAATAAGTATGACATTGACAAGCATAACCATTTTTTAGAACATTGTATAAATTTATCAGTGCTAAAATCTAAAACTACTTAGCATGCGTACTTAACAATATTCATGTGAATACCTGATGATCCGATTAAATAGTTAAGCAATATAAATAAATTAACTGAGAAATTAATGATAATAATGTAATGATGATTTTTTTTATTATTATATTTTGATTATTTAACTGAGCAAAATCCTAATTAACTTAGCATTTAATATATAGTCGTTTATTTTCATTCTCATTTACATATCTTTATGCTCAGCGACACATATGTACATGCTTCAAATGTTTTCAGACACCTTTCCACATAGTGAAAGAATGAATTATTTATTTGCCACTTTATAAATGAATGAGTGAGATTGAGAACAAGACATATTCTGACAATATATCGTTATGATACAAAAACGAATGATTTTTTTAAAGTTTAACATCGGCAGAGAATTTTTCGAAGTGAAACACCGGTGTTACATTTCAATAAAACTTGTTTTTCATGATTCATTTTGAAAAATGTTCGCGCTGGTGTTTCGTTTGTAAATACTTGTTAGATGATGTTTCGGTTCTAGGAATGCATGATAATTTTATTGATAAGGAATGCGAATTTCGATGTGGTGATAAAACCAATGGATTGGGCACATGAAATACTGTTCCAGAATCGAAAAAAAATTTAACTTTTTTTTTTCAATTTTTGCCTGTTTCGGATCGTCTACATGGGAAGTTTGTGTTCTGGTTTGGCAATAATTATGTAAGAAAAAACAAAACATTGTGAAACAACAAGAAAATGAGCTATCAATAATATCGTAAAAAGGATTCCAGGGCAAAATTCCCGAAAAAAAATTCCCGAAACGAAATTCCCGAAAAAAATTCCCGAAGACAAAATTCCCGAAACGAAATTCCCAAAAAAACAATTCCCGATTCGAAATTCCCGAAAACAAAAATTCCCGAAGACAAAATTCCCAAAACGAAATTCCCAAAAAAAATTCCCGAAAAAAAATTCCCGAAGACAAAATTCCCGAAACGAAATTCCCCAAAAAAAATTCCCGAAACGAAATTCCCGAAAAAAAATTCCCGAAGACAAAATTCCCGAAACGAAATTCCCAAAAAAAATTCCCGAAGACAAAATCTTCGAAAAAAAATTCCCGAAGACAAAATTCCCAAAATAAAATTCCCGAAGACAAA